CCCAACATATTGTTATTGTTGGCCGGGCATATATTGTTGAACGTATGCGCGTTAACTACTTTATTATATTATATATAGGTACACATAGCCAAGTATGTCTGATCGGAAACATAATTTTCTCAAAAGGTAGGTACCGTGATATTGTTAATCTAACGGCACCCTAAGGTAAAAGCAGAAAAGTAAGATAAACTGAAAATACTTAATCTGTTATAAATCTAATCGGTGATGTAGCACATAAACGTTATTAGGTTGTTTTCTGAATGCTTTCTAAACTAAAACGTGTTCTGTTGACAGCTTTGATACTTGTAGTCTTGTGTCTTGTAAGTTGTAAGTGTAAGTCAGTAAACGTCTTGTACTTAATTTAATACTTACTACCTAGTTTTAATTTTAAAATTCCATTAAAATTTTAACAACTGTTTGTTATAAATTCTTGAGTATCAAAAAAAGTAATAAGTAGTTACTGAAATTCTAAAAAAGACTGAAATAATATTATTATTATACAGTTAAATAAACGAATTTAAATACAAATAAATTAATAAGAATTAGGTATTTTGATTTTTTTAGTATTATTAACTGGTTAAAGTTTAGGTTAATTAAAGGGGACATTAATTTCGATAAAGCTATAAATGAAGAAGCTATAAAGTAGCTATGAATAAACTATTAATTGTTTAATATATAAAACCTATTATACTATTAATGACTAGTTTGGGATCTTGATGTTATAATATTATTCTGTATTCACAAGAATATTAAAGACTTTTGATAAATAAGTGAATTTTATGGGTTATTATTTGCTTTTAAATTTTTTGGTATTGTACATGTTATTTTTAAGTGTTAGACAATAATATTTTTAAATACAATTTGATTGTAAAAAATCGAATTAACTGATAATTTCATACTAAATATTACATAATAGCATTGTATAGCGATTGCAATAAGCTTAAATACGGTAAAAAAATGATGTAGCTATCAACCTTCGGTAGCTCAGTTGGTAGAGCGGTGGACTGTAGTGGTTAAATTCACAGATATCCATAGGCCGCTGGTTCAAATCCGGCCCGAAGGAAATACTTTTTGCACTTTTTTTTGTTAATTAACTAAATAAAAACATTATTATTATGTTAGGTCTAGCTAAATAAAATACATTTTATTTACAGTCGACGGTTATAATGTTATTTATACTGTTAGGTATGAAATTTGTACACAATACTGTACTAAATAATTATTCCAAATTTGTTTGTATTGAAAAATAAATAAATTTGATACGGCACACAATTGAGAAAAATAAAGGTCAAGATTTGTTTTTAACATACTTAAATACTATTATATTGACAGTATATGCATAGTTTGTACTCAATTGGTACTTAAAACAAAATTTCGCCTTTTATTTGGAACAAAACCTATACGTCTTTTTTTGAATCCAAAACCAGGCATCAGAATTTCGTTAGTACGTCTGGTTTTTTTTAATCCCCTTCAGTTTTGTAAGTTATAAACAAACTGTAATCAGAACTTTCCATTTTTCTTTTGTCTATAAACAATAACTTTAAGTTTTACATTAGGTCATTCTGTGACTAGTTCTGAATTCAGCAAAAAAATGGAATACAAAATCGATTTTAAATAATTTTAAAAGAATAATTTTAACAAAAATACACGCTGGAAATGTCAACAAACGGTTTTTTTACAACTTTTGTAAAATTCAGATTTGGATTAGACAAAAATTATTCAATCAAATATTTTACTCTTGTCCCGAAATACGTTATAGTGTGAGGATGGAAAATAAACTAGGTGGACTATGTATCTTTCTAAGCTTGTAATCTATGATGTTACATTTCAGCTCAACATGTTATTATTATCTTTGAATTATAATTTTTTCATCAAACTGTTGTTTAATTTATCGAAAGGAATCGGGTAAAATATAAAAATAGATAGACTACTGTAGAATATAGATAAATATTAAAGTATACCACGTAGTAAATAAAGGTTGCATTATATATACAACGAGTTGTTAATAATAAAGCGTAAGTGGAAAATGCGTTATTCTTTTAAAACGGCCCTTGAGTATAAGAAGTGACGGAGGCGGTCATTGCGATTGGTGGATAGAGCACACTTGACGGCGGAAGTCCACTTGCTTACGAGTTGATAAAACTTATAATTGGCACCCCATTGATTTCATTGAGGGCATTTTTTCTTGTTTTAATCTACGGAAACCCTCGATCCGAGTACTGGAGGGTGCGGTTGGTTATTATTGTTCCTTCCAGTTTCAATTTATATTCTCCACGGTTTTCTGTCTCTCTTCCTTTTTTTTCACGGAAGACAATAGTTTCGAGATTTATATTTTTTTCCCCGAATGTGATAAATCAACCAAAACGAGCATGACGTGTAAGTGCTGTGGCATTAAAAATGACAACGACAGTAAATGGCTATTTCCCGTAAAAAAAAAAAAGAGTCACACATACGTTTTGTGCAAAACATGAGCACTTTTTCTTTTATTATTATTACATTTTGTTTGCGGTTAAAAATAACATGCAACTACAACGGTCGTAATTTTTTTTTTCCATGCGGACACACTAAGAGGGAATGTGATGTGTGAACGAGACCGGAAAAACGCACACAACAGGTGGGAAAATGTGGTGATTTTTTTCGCTTTTTCAAATTAACAACCAGACATTTACTATATACGTACATATTACATACGCACCCTCGTTCGTGTATGGTAGAAAAAAAGCAAGTGTATGTACAGAGATTAGTCGTTGAGCGGGTATAATAGTTTGTGCCTGGAGGGGATTCCATTGACGATATTATGCTTGCGGTATGTACCAAGTTAGCCGATCCGCTTTTGCCCCGCATTCGCATGTGAAGTGTAGAAGACATAGTTGCGGTGTGTTCATCAGTATCCCCTTGCCCTACTCCAAGACGGTTATTTGTCAGCCGGGTCAAAGGAGGATAGTCCTTTCTTCGGATGTTATGAAATGCAATTCCACACACAGTGTTAAGATTCCGAGAATTCATCGGAACCATCAAGTTTGTTTACGCGTAGGAGTTGTCGCAGTTTCGCGTTTTCATTTTAAAATCATTTCATTGTCAGTGGTCGTCCAAAGGATTTATGTATGCTCATTCGCCTAAATGATATTCGGTCATTTTCCCCTCAAATTATTATTGTAACTATAGATGAAGTATGAGTATAAGTATTTTTTGTTTGTCCGTTCAATAAAAACTACTCGTGTCGGATCCGCTACTTTGACTGGGCGAGAGCTATAGTTTGTATTATATATTTGGCGCTTATAAACGCAACGATAACACGTCTGGTGCGAATCTATATTGTTAGGATTTTTTTTTAAGATTAAAACTGAAATGTGGAAAACGAGATGTGTTTCAGCGGTATGTGACGCTTTTTATTATTCGTTTAAACCAAGTTCGTTTCACGTTGATACATGCAAAATTATTCGACAAACAGTGGGTAAAAACCGAGACGCACACTGGCGGTGACGGATTTCGTACTTCGGACTGCCAGCCTAAATAACATGTATACACTATGAGCGTGTGGGAATGTTTTCAAATATACATACATTAAAATATCTCACGGTGCGGGGTGACGAAAGAGAAGGGGTAAAGATTTTAAATGTGTATTTTAAGATGTCAGCTTGCCGTATGGGGTTTAGTGTAGTAGGTGTGCAGCGTGCTCGGTACGGGAATTAGCATTATGCGACAACGGATCGGGTGATCCGCCGAGCGCACATAAATGTTTTAGCACGCATTCAGATTAGACAGAGTATGTGTAGTGTGTACACACTCCTTTTTTCCACCCTTAGAGTGTTTTTTTGTTTTGTTTTTAATCGGATCCCATGCAAATGAACCGTGAAAAAGGTTTTCGACAAATTTAAATCAGGGTCGCGCTACCGTGTGCGGACACAAACGTAGTCACGTTATGCCGTATCTATCTGGTTTTTGTCTCCCAGAGGAATCGGCACACGGGCATTAGCTAAAAATATTCCAATCACTAATATCAGTAATTTATTTTCTTATTAGATTTTTTTTTGAAAAATGTTTTCTCCAACGACAGCCGTAAAATATTCATTGCGATCATGGTGGAATTAATCACCCTCTTTGGTTTTCGCGTTAGCATATCTCTTGGGACGCCGGCCTTCGCTCCTGTGACACCACTACCATCACTTTTACGGTCTCTGTGAGGAAAATCTCCAAAGTAATTTCTGATTAACTAAATAAAAAAATACTTCCCCTAATGTTTTTTTTAACAAATTTTAAATTGGACTTTTTTTTAAATCTAACAGTGCGATATAATTAGTAAGAGAATACCTCTAGGCATTAATAATAAAGTACAAAACTGACAGTTTTATGTTGTTTTCTAAAATATCGTACATATGCAATTTATTATTAATATTCGATTTTAAAATTAATATTGCGCTTCACAGAAAACATAAATGCATACAGGTTCTGTTTTTTATACTGTTTTTCAAAATATTATACCAAGAGAAAAATGAATATTGAAAAAACATTCAAACGCCTATATTTTACAGACTGTTTTTGGATTTTACGATTACAGCTTGTTTCTTTTTCGCTTTAAGCCAATGTAATTGTTGTTATTGTTTCAAACCCAAATAATAAAAAAAACTGGAGATAAAAACGAAAAAAAGAAATGAATAATAATAATTGCTTTTGTAAAACGTTAAAAAATAGACGGTGAAAATAACGAGGGAATAAATTCGAAATTGCTTGTTAGAGACCGCCTGGTGTTTTCTTAAAAAGTTCGTGCTTTTTCACCTGATGTTTGAAATTATATTTTTTTTCGGCTGATAATAATAATAATGATTGTACCGAGGTGCCGTTATTAAAAAGTTGCGAGAGTGAAAGAGGGAAAGTATACTCAAATTCGTTCAACCGTTATCCGAACTGTAACGAGATTATGAGCGCACCGTCTTCACGCAGAGGGCGTAAGAAAATTAACACATAATCACATTTAAAGGTAACGGTTCTATGCGACTTACCTTCTGGACCGGCAGTGTCAGTGGCGAGTTTTTGCTGGGACGCCTTGAATGGAGAATTAGTCTGTAACCAAGGCGACGGTTCTAAATATTTCTGTAAAACAACAAAACGGGGAAAACAAATTGTTAACAAATCATCTTTATAGATATTATAATATATTGTATGTAAAAATATAATTTGTCCTATCAACTTCATTCCTATCCCCCGTGTATGCGGCCAATAACATATTCCGGTCATGCGGACCCTTTTGTCGTATATTTTGTCAGGCAGATGTCTTCGGTATATATACGTGAATAGGTTTTTTTCGGTTGCTTTTTGCTCCCTCGCTCTTCCGATAAGGGCGAATGTCGTAATTTCCTATAACCCGACCAATTGAATAAAATAGTCTTTGGGCACGTAAGGAGCGAAGAAAAAAAGAAGCAAGATAAATGTGTGTCCGGCAGTGTCCAAGCAGATGTTGAAGATATTGGCCGGTGATATATGTTTAAGGGCACGCGTGCCGCCACCCCAAATTTAAGCATTCCAAACGCATAGATGGACTTGAGCTCAACAACGATGTACTTGTGCGGACCGGATGATTTGCTGAGCATTTTTTTTATTTTAAAACATTTGGGATAAAGTCGTTACAAAGTATACAACGCAAACCTTATACATTCACACAAATCGAGTGTCTGGTTCAAAGCTATAACGAACACTCCGCTCCGTCATTTGTAACCAATATTGGTAAAACACAATAAATTGCGCAAGTATGCGCAAGATTTGAATGCGGGGATACAATTTGTTTAAACAGCAAAATATATTACTACCAGTTGTACCTTGCCCGAGGTCAGAGACAAAATATAATAATAATATTCTGCTGTTTTAGTTCCGTGCGTATCGCCGACTCGAATAGCATAAACTCGTACACAGTTTAAGTACTATCATAACAATATAATTGCTTATAACCACGAGTTGCCGATATTGCGATAGAGCTTTCATGCCGCGAGAAGTGTATGGTGTACATACTATAGGGTTGCTCGAGCGTATACATCGAAGGAAACCTAATGAAATCACACGATCGAGTGCAATACGACACCCAAAATTTATGAACCACGTAATATCCGTTATGTTCCACCACAGGAAATGTTTATACACGTTTCGGTTACCTGACACGGAAGTTCAATAATAAACGCTACTACTTGTAGTTAAATGCAATATTCCACTTGGAAAATGTGTCAATTAGGCAAAATTCTGATTTAATCGGTAAAAGAAACATGGTACCGCAATGTTGTAAGCGTAAAATTAAATGATATGAATCGGCAAAATAGATTTCCCGGTATAATGGCTTTCACTAGTATTGGGTTTGATTTATATTTTTTACACTGCAGTGTACTACGCAGAACAGTTCTTAACAAACGCGTCTGGTTCCTGTGTCCCGATGTAACTATATATTATTCGTGGAGCCTGTAGACAAATCGAAGCCGAAGTATTGTGTATATAAGAAATACATACGCACACATACGTAGTGGGAAACCGACTTCCGCTTTTGTGCGGTATTACCCCTTTTAACCACCCCTTCTCCAGGCACGAATCTTTCTCCGTACACCCCAATCACATTCCCTCGTCTGTTTTAAATAGTTTTTGCCGCCACCGACGACGATGACTGCTTTCTCCGAAATTAACACACCCACCCCGGTCTGTCTTTTTCTCTCGGCGATATCCGGGGGCGGAGGCAGTCTTTTATGTGCGTGTGTATATGTCGTTCATTAAAGGCCAGACCGAAAATGAGAAAAAGCGTCGAACTTAAACGATTTCGCATTCAAACAAAAGCCACCGTTTTCTTTACCCTAGCGAATCTCACTAATGGAAAATATTGTCTTTGCTTCGATTGGACATTCTTCGAAGATTTGAAATGGCTTAATGCTCAGAAAATCACTAACAAAAAAACATCATCCACAGTCAAATTAAATTTATTTCTAAATTATATTCTGGCATTTTAATCAGCTGGCTTTGTTAGATAGATTAATCTTTACTTAAATTGAACTTTATTATTATAGAAAAGTTATAAATTATTCTGAATATTATAAAATGTGTGGTATAACTATAGTACTTTAGAACCTAGAGTAAAACATTTAAAAATAAATATTTGGACAATAATATTATTACACTTGTGTAAATATATTTATGATACAAAGTTTCAATTGTATTTTGGCTACGCACAATAGAAAATCCTCTGTATTTTTTAGATTTTTATTATATTTTGATGGTTATTACTATAAGATATTATAATTAGGACGGTTTTGATAAAAGCAATAAAAAAGTTTATTATTATTGTTACTGTGCATATTGTGAGACGTTAAAAAAAGAAGGGAATTGAAATGTATACAACGAAATGTCAATACAGCAAGCTTGTAAATTTAAATTATTTAAAACTTTTTCATCATTAGCATCCGGCCAATGTCGGTAAATAAATGAGCAAAACAAAAAATGAATCCAGAAGAAAAAAAGAGATTCTATTGGATCCCCTTCATTAATAATTCATTAATTGAGGTTATCAAGATCGCGATGGACGGGGTTTTTTTTCTCCCCAATGATGATTTTGACACCGGTATCAGTTAAAAAAAAAAGAAAACAATTAAATGCACAGAAATCTGCTATCTAAACTGTTTTAATGCCGGTGGTAATTGAATGGCCGTGCTCGGGTCATTGTTATTCACCGTGAAAATGCCCCTCCGACACGGCAAAACTGGGGCTATGACGGGTCCAACGGGGAATTAAAAAAAATACATTTTTGTTTGCATAACGTTAACTTTTCCTTCGGCCGTCGTGGGAAAAAATGTTTTATTTCCACATAATCAAGAAAAAAAAAACGACTGACACATTATCATGTAAGTATTAAAAAAAAAAAAAAATAAACAATGAAATAGCTGCTGTTCTAACCAAATACACTTCGTTAAAGAGAGTGAATATAAACACCCGACCGAGTATAATATCATCTTATAATAAATATTATATTTTTAACGTGTTTCGGAAATGGTAAAAATATTATTACTAAAGCATCCGGCCCGTTTTGCAACACGGTTAAACGACGAGATACTTAATAACTCGTTTCGCTCGCGGTACACGAACGAATTAGACGACAGGGAATGTGGCTTGTATAATCGTTCTGAAAAGCGCTTTGAAGATATATTTCGAGCGTTGGGGCTCTAGCAAAGGCGAACGGCGAGGACGTGAGGATTTTAGAGTTGGCGCGCAAGTACGACGGCTAATATAATTACGAGAGCCATCAACCCGAGCTTGCGGTGACGAGTCGAAAGTTTAAGGCGAACTCGGGCCCGGGGCGAATTTTTAGCTGCGGTTTTCAAAAGCTCCTTCTACTTTCCCCCCGCCCCTCAGTCCAATATTAAAACAGCCAACGTCGCTCGCTCGTCTTACACATCCGGTTCTGTTTTAATTTCGATTTAAACAACGTCTCGAGTCAAACTTAAACTAATTAACTCCCCTCCGTGGTTTATAATTTTGATCGAAAGATCCGATAAATATACTAGGAACGACGTCGACGCTTTTTTCTATTTTTTCATTGTTGTCGTCGTTGATGTTATTGCATTTGTTCCTGTCGCTATAGCCGCATTCTCTGGGTAGGACTGTAGATTCCTATGCTCAATTTAAGGTGCGTGTGGAAAACGGTTTTATTTTGTTTTTTTTTGCGAGTCCACAGGTTACAGTCTGGGCAGTATGCGCGTAAATGCGACTTTGTCTGTGGGAGACACTGGCGACGTTTGATTTCAACCGGGAACAGATTTAACGCGACATAATACAATATTGCTGCTATTTAATACCCGTTTGTTGTCGACAGGGCGCCTGTATGAGGGTATCCAGAGATCCGGGCGGCCGACACACGGTTCAGTACACGCGAAAAACGGCCAAGGGTAGCAGTGGCGGCGTTTGTATGGAAGAAACACTACCGGATGGAATGGACGCATAGCGAAAGGGTTGTACAGAACAATGCCAAATGCTACATCAAGTATTATAACCGTCGGCATTCCAAAAAGACGTGCGCTTTTATACAAGATTTCACCCTCGGTCAAAACGTCTTGTATGTAATACTTTGTTTTTAAAGTCATCCTCCTGTATTTACTGCCAAATATGAAATTTTGTCATTTATCAACCGAGAATTTACAGTCCCTCAAATAAAATATAGCACCGTCGAGTTACTTTTGGAATTTTTATGATGTTTAAACCTACACCCTTGACAACTCGTACTGAAATGGTGTTAAAAGTACTCCTTTTGTATCAAAATATGATACGGTCAGGAAATCCATTTACCATTAGCTATGTATTGATGTGTATACATGCTTTACTAATCGATGCAGACATAGTTGTACAAATATTTATGAAATTATTAAGATTGACCGGACACTTTTAAGAATAAATAAAGCAACATACCGAGTCTCGTCGTATTTTACCTTATAAACTATAATAACCACTGTGCCATGTCCGTGTTATGTTTGTCTATTATCTTCTATATTTTTTCGTTTAATACATTATAGATTCTCAATTAGTGTTATTATTTTTTTTATACATAATGTGTTATTGATACCACGAAGACTGTATATAATTACCAACGTCCAACTAAACAAACATTGCAAACTGTCCCACCCACGAATAAATTAAGCCCTAAAACAAACATACCGCATTATGGATTTTTTTCCATTCTCTATTTGACTTGTGTATTCTTGTTAACTCGATACGGACAGTATTAGTGTAATTAAAGTAAAAAAAAAAAAATAGACACTGTATTGTTTCTACACATAGCGGTGTCGGCTAAAGACTGGTACCGCTATCAAATCATATACATCTTATCAGTTTCATTTCATCAAAACGTCGAATAATTAAAACTATAATAGTTACATAGATAATAGTTAAAAAATACATTCAATAAGCAAACACTTATAATTATTGAACCGAACATTAGTTTATAAAGCTGTGCATACTGTTTGAAAGCAGTACAGAAATTAATTATATTGAACGTCTTTGTACAACTCTTTGTAACAACTTTTGAACCTTAAAGGTGTTGTTTTCATGCAAATATATGCTTTCACTGTAGTGAAACT